GTACAAAGACACCTGCAAAAACAGCTTATCTAAGCTTGGAGCAGATGTTAGCATCTGGGAAGAAATAGCTGAAGACAGGAAAACATGGAGGAAAATGATAAAGGAACGAACTATAATGCTAGAGAGCAGCTTTAGAAACAACCAGGCTGAGAAGCGCCAACGACGAAAGGAAAACAGGGGAAATACAGAGCTTCGATCTACGACACTGACATGCAAGCATTGCGACAGAATCTGCGCTTCAAACACAGGAAGAATTAGCCATGAAAGAAGCTGCATGAAGAAAACCTTGAGACCATCTTAAGCTAAGCTAAATTGACCGTCTGCATAGACGAAAAGAGCCATATGATTATATTATTATTATTATATCGACATTTAATTTGATTTGATGCCAGTCTTTGGATCATTTTTCACACTCAATAGAGTTTTATTGACAGATGGTTGGTTTTTGTTTTTTTCAATGCTGACTTTGTTTTGAAGTAGTGTAGCTTTTGTTGAGGTCCTTTTTCGTTTGTTTACAGATCAACCAGTCAGGCTGTACAGAGATGTTGTCCTCCTCACAGAAGACCGCAACTTGCGTCTCAAGGCGCACACGTGTAACGTACCTGTGAAAGACGTGCCCGGATTCAAGAAATGGAGCAAAATATCATGATAATGATGAGTCTTCTATCCGTCTACGTATTAATGCTTTAGAGAAATAGAGAAAGATAGTAGATAAGAATGGAAAGGGAGAAAAATAGCCAGAGGATGAAGTGTAGCGATTGAAATATTTGTTGGTCTTTGTATATACAGCATTGCTGTATACTTTTGCCTCATAATTATGTCAGTGTCTTTGCTATAATGCTATTGCACAAAACCATCCTCTGCTCTTTCGCTCGTATCTTATTAAAATCAGAATGGCATGTCGTGTCTCGTGTTGGGCTCGGCATCAGTTCTATACTTCTTTGATTCTCTGTTTCCGGGACCGTTCAGTACTTGAGATTACTCTCAGCTGTCCTGCCATGTCCTTTCAAAAAGGTGGTCTTCTTATTTTCTGACAGATTCTGCCTCCATTTTTTCTAACCACGTGTGTGCTTTCTGTGTCTGGTCTGTACACAAAGAAAAATTCTGTCAGTGTTTTGTGTGTGTGTGTGTGTGTGCCCTTGTTCTTGTTGCTTAGCAACCTTCAAGGGGTTGTGATCCCCTCATGTGATGATCTATTCCCCTCCAGTTATAACTGTACTCCCTTTCCCTACTCTTCAAATATATATTATTACAGTCACTTGCTACATCCCTAACTGCCATTTGATTTGAAGGTCTTTCATATTCATAGCTCTTCAACCTCTGAACTTTGCCATCAGTCATCCATTGACACGGTCATATTCATCATCTACCTTCATCATCATTATTTTTAAGAACATTTCTTCTTTTATTATGTCTTGCATTGTCAATGTCTTTGTCTTAAACCACAAGTGTTATCATTTTTTTTTCATTTCTGTGTCTGTCCTGATTTTAAATTCTAATTTTTTTAGCAAACATCAATATTAAGAGTTTCTGCTAGCTAATATCTGGCAGGTGGAAGAAAAAAAGCAGGAAATGAAAAGGTAAAAAAAAATGTATTGGTATCTCTGCTTGTTTACTTTATTCATCTTTTTATGCATTGTGGTAAAAGAGAGGAGGTAAGATTTGAAGTCTGCTGGAATGTGGTGGCAAGTTTAGGTGATTATCATGATTACAACCAACAAACTCCCTCCTCTTGCTTTTGGGGTTGTAAAGTACAGGTTACTGGTATAACAGTAAGGTCTTCGTCGCTTTGTGCTTATGAAGCGAGTTTGATTCTCATGTGGGGAAGTTATTTTGTAGAGTTGCTCTATTTGTCTACTAGGTTGCTATTTCCCGTTCAGCCTAGGTCGAACCTGGCAGGTATTATTGAAGTATCTACCCTCCTAATTGACCTTCATTTGGCTTATGGGGTTGTAGAACGTTTACAAGTATTCTTTTTTCGGGGGGGGGGGGGGATTGTGTCAAAAGGGATGGAGAACTCTTCAAGCAATATTGTAATCTACATAGTTTTTAACTATTTCTGCCTGAAATGCTAGGGGTATACATTTCTTAATTTGATGGCATTAGAAACTGTTTGGTCAACTCTACATGAGTTTTTGAACACAACAATAAATGCCTGTCTTACTCTGTCTTTTTAGTTCAATTTGCTATTCTGAGATGAGTGGTGTTTTGGTACTTTTATCTCTATATGACAGGGTAAGTTTATGTTTTTCATAGTGGTTGATGGGTGCTCAGGTGTGGTTTGCTCTTTCTTTCCTACCAAATATCTTGTCCTTATTTTTCCTCCTTCTTCATGTGTTTATTACTCACTTGTAACACCTAATCTTCTGCACTTTTATGACCTAATTGTGTTGCAAGTGCCGTAAAACGCTTGCTAAAACAAAAAAGTTATCGTTTCTTCAAAATAGCTGTGTGTTCTGCAATTGGATGGAGAGAGAAAACATTGCCTGAATCTCAAATGTGGCCATTTTGTGTGTTTATTGTTGATTTCGTTTGGTACTGAAGCAGAAATGAGATGTCCCACATCGCTTGAGTATTTTGCCTTTCCTTGTATAACCATTATTCTTGCCTCTCTGGGAATTTTATAAAAGTGTGGAGAGTGCTGCTGACTGCTGTTATTTCTTCTCTGCTATTAAAAGAAAATTATTAATATGTATTTTTTTTTTAATGTTTAAATCTTGAGGATAAGAATGTGATTCATTTGATGAGCTTTTCAATTCAGGAATGAGTGATAAAGGCATGTTGAGGTCTTTTTCCCTGCTGTGTGACCCACCAGTTCTCTTCTCATATCAGGTGTATGTGTTTGTGAAGTCACGACAGATTCTTTAAGGGGCAGACGCTGTGTTTAGGGATACGAGTAGCTCAGGTGGTATTGTGCTAGGCTAAAGGGCTGATGACCCTGGTTTGAATCTCAAATGGAGCTTTCATGAACTGGGCTTCTTTAATGAGTCTTTGAGACTCTTCACCCACTCGTCTCATTCTTCTGAGATGGACTTTAAAAACTGAAGTATTGGCCTCTGAAATTACCTTCCCGTGTTTATAAAATGGTAATAATAATAGATTGCATTTATATAGTGCTCTATCCCATAGGAGTATAAGCTCTCAGTGCTTACTCATTTATAGGAGCGTTTTTGTACCCATGCCATTCAAATAGCATACGAAATGTGTTCAAGGCATGAATGAGTAAGTACGACTGCAAACCAATTTTTTTTATACTACATGTACATATGAGCTTGAAATATTTAGCTAGATAGCTTGTTGTGTGTAGCAGAGTTTGGAGTACTTGAGTGTGGATAAATGTATTCGAAAAGAAAGCTAAGCTGGCATGTTTTGTAAGAATTTTTCTATGAATGGCAAATAATATTAACACAAAGTCATGATTATTTAAGTATTTATTGGTGTGGTTTTTGCATGAGATTGTGTCATTTCAGTTTGTTTTTTTTGTTAGTTGAAGAAATAAGTCTATTTTTAACATATGAAGACTACAATGGAAAAATGGTCAGATGCATTAAAAAATTTTTAAGTTCAATACGCACTGTACTTTATTCGATTTCCTATGGAACCTTTTTTTGAAAAAGCATTTCAATATAACTTGGAACTGAGACGGTTGTTAGGTTTGACTATTTTTGAAAGTAAAGTGTCTGTGTACATGTCAGAGGCAGTAACTTAATCATTTTGAGTTTGTGACTTGAGTCTGTCGTTTTTCCATAGTGGTCTTCACATCTCTCTCTGTGATTAGTGTTACAGCACAAGATACAACAATCATCAGCATTAAGGTCATGGCTGCTCTTCTCAAAGAAAGTATCTGGCTGTATTGCCTGGTACTCAATATGAATTTTTATATGTTTGTTGTGATTTGAATTTGAAGGAGCTTTTTATACATGTGTCTAAGTCAGTGGGGCGTTATTGATTACTAGAGCCCTGTAATTATCATGTTTGCTGGTCAATTTGTCCGTCTCAGTAGAAAGATATCTCACATTGGTGCTGGTGACAGTTACAGTGTAGTTGTGTTTGTTTTTTAACCTTGTCAGTGATTCAGATTACTCTTTTTCACTTTGACCCTAACCCTAAAAAAATTTATCGAATTCAGGGATGGACGTTCTCAGGATTTTGTTTTTTTTCGTATTTTGCATGAAACCCTGTAAAGTGGAACAGAAGTTTGAATAGGGGGTTTTTGTGTGTAAACTTAAGTCACATCAGCAATATTATCGTAAGCGCATTTTCGAGGTATATAAAAGATAAAAAATGTTTGATCCATCTTGAAAGCCACGTACCTGTGAGAGAGCTGAATTTTCATGATACTGCATGTCCTGTGGTCGGAAGAACACAGAGCAAATAGTCCAAAGCAACACTGCACACTGTTTTGAAAAATGACGTCTATTTTTTAAAATGCAGGACAAGTCTAGAAGCCTAAGTTTCTTACTGATTTATAGTCGTGTACCCCTACTCTCCCCCAGCCTCCACTCCCTCATACCTCTGTCCTCACAAGAGTATTTTTTTTTTTTTTTAATCAGGCTCTCGTCAAAATAATCGAAGTGAAGAAACTGGCATTTTTCCGCAGGTTTATGAATTTTTATCAAATTTTTGTTTTTTTGACTCAACACCTTTCATGCCCATTAAAGAACTCATTTCTGTGTGAATGTTTCTGAAAAATGTTGATTAAAGGCACAAAAAATGTAAATTTTCAGTAACCACGGACTCTTAAGCTAAGGAAATAACTAATCTTTGGCGGCCATTTTCTCACTAATTTCACCTCGGAAAACTGGTAACCTCTACCTCCTTCTTTCGCAAATATCTCGACTTGTATGCAAGATAAATGGATATTTTTTCATCCGAATAAAGACAAGTGAACAAGCTTTAAGTTGATACCAATAACTCTACATGCCCAAAAATTGACGAGAGCCTGATTCCACCACGCTGCCTCACAAATGGTCTACAATACACCATGTACTGATGTGAAAGTTTATGACTTTTTTAAAGGTAAAAATAAACAAATTTGCACAAAACACATGGCCCTTGAAAAAGTCAATGTTGGTACACCTCTAACTAGAATTCCAAATGTGTTTTCGAACTGGCTTTTTTTTTTGGGTGTGTTTTTGTCAAAAATTCAATTCTAATTCACTACCCCCCTGGGGCTGTGCTAGTGACTGAAGTGTGTTTAGGCCATTCCCAAAGGGGGGGACATTAACCATGTTCTTATGCACAGTAGAATTGTAATTGTAAATGGGCTGATTCATCAATGTCATTTTCATAAAGTAACTGTGCCTGAACTGCAACAGGGAACTGCTGCTTTTTCTTTCCTAACCCTTACTGTCGTCATTTTTCCTCTACTTCTTTTGTATGTTTGTCACACTCTTGTGACTGGCTATTTCCGGGGTGCCTTGATAGTCGAAGCAGACTTTGCGCTGTTGAAGCTAGAGAGGTGAGCAGAGTAAGCCTGATTCCCTGTATGGAATTCTCTATTGACATCCACCCCTTGGCGCTCATATGACCTTACGCAGTTGTGAGCGCAGTAAAACCTCTACTAAAACAAAAAACAAATTCATTCAGTTTTACGAAAGAAAAAAAAATCTTGAGACCATCCCTGGTTTCTACATTTGTAGTGAAAATATGTCTCCTGAAACGGGGGCCTGTTGTGCATGTTGCTGTTACTGTTTACCCTTTTTGACTGCCAAGCTTGTCTCTCCTCAGTATTTCAAGTGCAATTATAGATGTGTAGATTTGTGTGTTAGCTTTAATGACCATGCGCAGAACAAGCTTCAGTTTGCCGCCATGCATGTGTTTGTACGTGTGAGCCTGTACAGTTTCCGCCGTGACTTGCGTCACTCCTTCATTCTTTGATAATAATTAGTTGCCTCGAGAACTGCATGAAGTGTCACCTTGAACTATGGTGTTGTAATGTCTAGACTTTTCGTCTTCACATGAAAGAAATGTGTTTGATTTGATTCTGTGATGGGGGAAAATATTTAATCAAGCGTCCCCCTGTTTCTGCTAGGATGTGTGTAGAATTCCTCACAGCTTGAGCTGAAGCGTCGTCCTGCTAAGTGATCTAAATTGTGTCGATTTGGGCATAAAATATTTATAATCATTTTATGAAGTGTGTTGTAGAAGTTTCCCTATATGGATTGAATGTGTTTTACCACAGTTAAGTCAGTGAGGCTGTTGATCGTTTCGCCTGGTGCTTTTTTTTCTTTTTTTTTGACAAGCAAGTTAATTGTTTTTTCCTGAGACCCTAATGTGACATTTCTGAGTCTTTTACATTTTAATTTTGTTCAATAGATCTCTCACAATTCAATTTTACTTTTGCATCTTTTAAAAACATTTGTTCCATTTTCTTGTACATCTGTGTACAAAGCTGACTTGTGGTTGACAACGTGGTATTTTAGTTTTTAGATGTATGTATGTCCATTGAGGACTTTGCAATTAAACCGTGTTCCTAACAATGCAATGAGCTCAGAGCTGGACTGTGTGTTTTCTTGTTTTTTCTTACCTGGTTATATATGATGTTGTGTGTTAATATTTTAATAAGCAGGTGGTTGG